CGCGTTCCGAACGTTGTTTAAGCGACATACACCGGTATTGCGGTATTTTAAAAATTCATATCATAACAAAAATAAACACCGGTATTCGGTATGAACCGGTATACCGCCCAGTACTACTTTGTACACTGTAAAAAAATTCCATAAAGTTTATGGTAAAAAACCGGCAGCTGTGGTTGCCGGAATTTTACCGTAAAAAATACGGTAGCAACGTTTTAGGTTTTACGGTTTTAACTTAAATTTACAGTTGAATACCGTAATTTCATTAACTGATATAATATTAATATACCAACCTATTGAAGTACTGAAATCTGTTTTGTACCTTTGTAATACACTAACCACCAAATGCATGTGGTGATGAGAAAGTCACATGATGAACCAAAGCCCATCACAAGCAGCTTTTAAATAATAACATATATAGAAGGTGCACAGTGTCATTCACACAAACACCAAACACCATCATGGTAACACACATGAAACTGAAATAATGCAATAAACATTCATTTAACAACATTAGGTGTAACACACAACCCTGATATACAAAACTGATAAGAAAAAACTAAGAAACATAGTTATTTCAACAAAAAAAACATCCAATTTGAAATGTAATGCAGGAATTTCTGGGAATGTCAATTTACAGTTATTCACTGTAAATTATACGGTCTTTTCACTTCCAAAAACGGTATACTACTGTAAAATTAATGTCCAATACATGTAATGTCCAATACAGTTTTTCACCGTATGTAGTAGGGGAATTTACCGTTAACCATTTAACAGGTTTTTACTGTAGCATTTTTACAGTATTTTACCGTTAAATTCACGGTCATTTTTTACAGCAGAACAGCCTTCTGCAGGTTGCCCTTCTCTGTCAGCTGTTGCAATTGAAGCAAGCATCTTGTCAGTCTGAGAAAAGCACTTCAGCTCTGAATCCTCATATACGGTGACGCTAATGGATTTCTATGGGCGCTAATTTAGGCCTATGTCACGCTAATAGATCTGCACTGGTAGATTGTGCTGAGAATAATGAAAAAGCCGCACAAAGGCCGATGCCTATAGAGAAGCCACCACAATGCCTGATACAACCTCGTTTCCCCCCTCCAGTCAGCTTTATTTAACTCAGAATGTGGCTTTTAGGCATCATATTTAATTATTGGGAGTGAGGTGGAGAGGAAGTGTGAGATGGAGACATGCCAGGGCATGTTGTGATGTCCTAGAGCTCATGTCTTCTGGGGTTGGAGCAGGCAGATTCATTTACTCACATCACCCTTCATGTGCGCTATCAGGGGACAAAGGATATGTTTATTTCAGACTTTCGTTTAAGCTGTTGGCCTGGTGCATTAATACTCATCATGAGAGATATTATGTTGTAGGATCATGGGAATTTGTGCCTGTGTTTCTCCTAAATGTTGTTTATATTCAGTTCACAC